TACCATTGTTTGTCCCGGTTGTGGGGAAGAAGAAAGAGCTTCTAACAAAATTGAAGATGAACCATGATGAGTAATATTTTGCAGTTGACCTGATTCGTATAGTTCCCGTTCATGTGGAAGTAGTCGTTTCAACCAACCAGTAATCGGAACGGCTTTACTAATATCATTTTGAAATTTTGAATCTGCCATCTATCTTAAATAAAAAGAATCAAATAAAATATCTCGCATAGTGAAAGAGGATTCTGCTATGTCATCCAGCATGAGTGCACCGTACGAAAGCAACTTTCATATATGACTCAAATTGTTCCTTTATATGTAAGGCTTTATTTCAATGTAATTGCATAAGTATTACATGATCTTACACAATCGATGAGTGATGATATGTTTGTTGCTTTTTCTTATCGATGAAAATGATCAGCAGAATGAAGAACAGTATACATGTGTCAGGCAAAGTCGTAATTTAAGCAAATGTGAACACACCTTTTAAAAGATTGAAAATTAAAAAGATCAAGAAAGCTGTAAATGAACAATATTTTATATTAGCGTTATGTTCAACTTTGACTGAAGTTTAATTAAATCTAGAAAGTTATAGAGTTCGCTAGTGTTCTCAATTGAAATTAATTTTATCTTTGAAAGGTACGACCAAAAAGAAAAAGAAAAGTAAAAATCTTTAAGCTTATGTTGTATTTGAGTAGTATCTTTTATCGACGTTTAGTTTTCTAACACAAAACAACGAATGATGTTTTCATTTATATGTTCTCTGTGATCAAAATATAGCTGCCTTCTTTTGAAATTTAATACTGTAATAATTGAAAACGTTACTTCATTTGTTCATAAAAGACACTTCCGAAAATCACTTTCTAATGTTGACGCAGAAGAAGTCACTAGTGCAGACATTATAACAAGAATAAATGAAAATGAGTATTCTATCTAGTAAACTTTTTACAAACCTATCAAAATCAAATTTTAATTGAATAGTTATCACAAAATCCTTCTGAAAACATGAATCGGACAGTCGTCAAGTGATCGAGATAATCTAGAATTGCATTTGTGTCGATAATGGCCTGCATTCTCTGTTCCGATTGTTTGACATGATGATCATACTTGGAATTGGTAGAATTTGTATCAATTGGACTGAACCAGACGAGCCAGTTTAATCTTTTCAACTGAACTAAACCGGCTAGTAGAAATTCTTGATATAAACAGTAAAAATTTGTCAAAACTCGTCTTCGTCTTCCTGGATCGAATCCAAACATTACAAGTATATTCATTAGTGAAAGACTTTCCTCTTTTTATTTCTATTTTTTTCAACAGATTTATTATTTTCACATGATGTATAATCACTCTTCAGAATTGTGCTTGTCTTTTCATATCGTCGAGCAACTCTAGAAACAAGTCAAGTAATAGAGATATCCATAGTTTTCCTATTTCAGTTTGTTTTGACTTATTGTATCGCTCATCATTCAAACAAACATTTTCGATTAAGTTTCAGTCAATCACCAGATAAAATTTATGTTTCAAATCATTGTTCTCGTGTAGGATGAAGTTAGCTAGAACTTCAAGAAATGGATAATGAACAATCAGCAAAAGACTGTTCTCATATTTTAGATGTGCAATTTGAGAAGACGTTTAATTTTACGAGCAATTTAGATGATATCTCAACATTACCGAACTTTTCTTCTGCTATCATCAAGTATAAAGTTCTACGCGTCAGTAAAAATCATGTTATTTCAACTGAAATCTTCATACTGTTCAGTTATGATAGGTCGTTGCTCGTACGGTTATCTGTGAGTAATGAGCTTTTTCAAAGATGAACCAAAATCTCCATCACTTTCACATAATCAACTTCGAACATTATTTAGATCTATATTCAATGCCACCTGTTTTTCTTCTAAATATTTACAAAGTTCATTTGGTTTCATGATCAACTCACGTTTGCCAATATTAATAACCTAGGAAGTCTATTTTCTTCAATGTAACACGTATTCGAACAGTTCTGGATCAATCAGACAAATTTTCATTTTGTTATTATCATCAAGCTAATGCTGCACAATTTTTCGTTAAGAACATATTTACGTCAAAATAGCTATCTCAGAGATGTTCGGACTCAATCAATTAGATTGAAGAAAAACGAATTACATAATATGATAACAGAAGTAGTGACATGCTGAGAATCTAACGAACAAAACAAGAATAAAAAAAAACAACATGCTCCATATCGGTTCACATCTTACATATTGATAATTGTTACATAAAATTAGGTCATTCGAATCAACAAATAGAAACGAAGAGAAGAAAAAATGTAGATTATACATTTAATCCATAATTTACGTTGTTCATTAGTTTAATATTTCTTTTCATTGCCATTCACATAAGTAACTACGGACGAGCTTGACTCGCTTTTCGGCTTATCCTGTACATCACCGGTTGATTCTTTTTCCATAAGCTCATCTGAAATATAAGAAACAAAGAAAGATTACGAATAAGATGGTTGATGAGGTTTATTATCGATAAGGAATTTTTGAAAAGTTGGTATCGAAAGACAAAATAGTTAAACATACTTTTTCGATTTTGCCATATGAAAAAGATAAAAATAATAGCACCAACACATAGTAAAATGACAAGTAGAACACTAAAAATAATTATGATCAGTTGGTTTCGTTTTTCCTTCTTTTCATCTTCCTCAAGTGCAACAACAGCGTTAAATGCATCATCAGCATTTTCGATGACAGTATCTGTCATTCCATTTATAACAGTAGTATTATCACTGCTCCTTTGAATATCAACGATAGTGCTATTTGTAATATTATCTGTATTGCTATTTGTAATATCATTTTTTGCTTTAACATGCATGTTGCCAATAAGTACAAATTCTTTAACCAGTGGTTTTTTCCATTTAATTTTATGATCAAATATCCATTTATCCACTGTGCCACCTAGATCTGTAATGTGTTTAACAATATCACTTCGACTACCCAGTGTAGCAACAAGTACTTTAGCATCTTGTGGTTTAAGAGCTATTCGTGTTGTATTTTCAATAATATTTGATGTTAAACCATTAATATCAACAATATTTTCCACAAATGTTTGACACATATTATTATTGGCAGCATCATATGTATAAAAATGTTTATCTATGTTTGATGCTGTAGTTATCAATCGGTTTAATGTAAATGTTTTATTAGGTGTAAGTGGAATATCGAATACATCGACAAATTCAGTAGGAAATACTGGTTTCATGAGACGAACACGATGAGCTTTTTCAAGTTTGTAAACAATACTACCAACAGTTCTTTTTGAAGCTTCAACCATTCTTTGCAACACATTCAGTTTTTTTTCGTTCTGAATAGTAATAAGTAAATAGTTGTGATAAATTTCATCATAGCCAAGTTCAATTTTTTTATTAGCAAATTTCCAAGAACTGAGAATATTAAGAAAAAGAATTAAAACAGCTTCGACTGGTGTACGACCAAGTTGAATTTTGACAACAGGATTATCGCCGACTTGTTCTAAAATTTTGCGTACTTTAACAGGCATTTCGGGGTCATATTTTGCAGCAATCAAATGATGATCAGTTTTTTTCGGCTACAAAAAAAAATATATATATATATATATTCCAGTACTCTGCAATTCGACGTAATACAAATATTCTGATACTTCTCAAACATAACAGATTCTACTTCTAAATTGTAAGGAGATTCATCTCAAGAGAATTTTCCTTTTTTGTTGATTTCCCAGTATTATCAGACAACACAGTTTTCAGTACTATTCGACATGTACTTCAAGGTTTTAACATCATTTCAATTAATGATGAAGAGATTAGAATGAAATCATGAAAAAAAATTATCCTGTCATCCTTAATGAAACTTAATTATATGGTTCTCGAAACTGTCGTCTACTTTCTAAATAAAAATTTATTGAACGATGATTACTTTTTTAAAGAATAGACCACTTAACAGTACCACAGTTTCTAGTATCAATAATAATTGAAAAAGCATAATGATTAATTGCATAATCAAAACAGTACAAAAGAATTAAATTATTGATGAAAAAGTGAACGTAAGTTAGAAAATTAGAAAATTCACTAGACTTGTCAAAATAAACAAGGCGCATTTCCACAAAACATAATTTGAAAAATAAAATAAATATTTTCCTACTAGTTATTGACGATAATTATAATCTTTGTCTGTTTTATAGATTTTCACAGGACTATTATATCATATTTGTGTCATCCATCGTTCAACCATGATTAAAGAGCCGAACCATTCTATACAAATGGCGAAACAATGTCGCAGAGAAAAAGATAACTGCACACAGTAAGCTATTTGGTTGAATTCAAAGAGAAACAATATTTTTTGAAAACAATCATTTTACTCACAGAAATACTCAATAATATGCATAAACAACTCATGACTTTTTTTAATAAGTATTCATAAAGCAATATTTGAAATATAATACGAAATAAAGAAATTCTCTCACATTTGATTTGATTGGGAGTATTATTATATTATTGTGGTGAAGTTTGATTAATTTGTATGCTAATTATCGACATGGGAACAAAGGTACTATGTCCCATTTATTATGATATGTAAAAAATAAGATTTGTAGAACGATGATGACTTTTTGAAGGATAACGGTACTACAAGTCATTGATCAATTGTTTACAAAGTAAATCTTAAGCAGATTCACTAACTTTCATATTTTCTATTGAAGCTTTGATTTTTTTAATAGCCATTCTTATCCATAATCCATGAAAAAGCATATACTGTTTCAATACGTTTTGATTACAAATCAAGCATGTACATAATCGCGAAGAATACCTGCTAGTAATTGAAAAGCAAATATAAGAAATGAAACGAAATAGGTATAGTGTATTGCATCTCACCAGTGATTAGTTGAACATAATTGATCAATATATGGTTTAATGTACAGAAAAAAAGACTTATAGTTAATCAAGTCGCTGATAAGGTTTTATAGTAAAAATTCTTAGTAGTTATTTTTCGAAACCCTGATCGAAGAGTCAACAATGTTGTTATCCAATGATATGATTATTTAGATCAGTTTTACTTTTGTTTCCAATAAACTCTAAGACATTGATGTTTAATTCAGCATGTTCACCGATTGTTTGGTATTGATTTTTGCTATTTTGCAATTGAACCACAAGATTTGATTGTTCATCGACACTCAGGTCATTTAATATCTAAGTTAACACAATCGTATCTTAATAGAAATAGTTGTTGTAACTGATTAACTCGATTAACAAAAAAAACAAGATCTATTGGAACCCGATTGAATGCTGATGATGGATCATTATCTGACAATTAATTAATAAAAGATGCTTTCAATGTTACAAGTCCATAAATATTTGCTTCTTGAATAGATCTTTCACCATTAAATTCTAATGTGCTTGAGAGTTTAATTAAATGAAATGATTCGGATGTTGATGTGAAGGGTTCTTGTCGCGTCGAAACAATACAACTACAGAGTAGCCTCACAGCAACTTCATTCATTAACATCTTATATTGATAGAATATTCTTAAATGTTAATACTAGGTTAATTTAATAAAATTATTTTACGTTATTCATTTTTTTCACAAAATTCCAATGTTCATGACAAAAATTGTAATTAATTCCACCTGCTTTTCAGTGAAATAATATCTTAGAGAATTTTATTTTATGATCGTTACTATTGTTGTTATTCTGATTATACATTTTTCTTAATACTAGATAACAATTAACTAAGTGATGTTTTTAGAATTGCTCGATATAATGGACACTGCCTATTTTTCGCTTTCATACGTAATACCAAATATTAAAGTTGGAATTTATTTTCGCACGACCAAACAAGAAGAAATAAAACAGTTTAACAAATCGAACAAGCATCATTTGTATCGCTTGTAGTCGACGAGAAAACAGCTATATACATGAGACTCTTTATCACTTTTATATAATGGGTAAGTTTTCTTTTCAAATATCATATTCGAAAAAAGCATTTGACGCTGAAAATTTTTTAGACGATGACATCTTGAAATCAAAAGAAACATGTGACTCATTGTATGCAAGTAATAAAGAGTTCACATGAACATTATCAGTTGTTTGTTATAAAATTAGGATTTCATTTCAGAAACATTTTGCTGTTTTTAATTAATATGGTTTCAGTTCTTCTGAACAATTGTGGAAAAAAAAAAAATAATTCAATGTAAAAAAAATCATCCAAAAAATTTTGTACAAAAAATTGACACTTTAGATTGTTATACTTATGTTCAGTTACACTAAGACTCAACATGTACTGATTAAACTTTCTATGGACATAATATAAACACTACTTACACTTTTGACGTAAAACCGTATTTCAAAAGTCAACTTTATGAGAAAGTTACAGTTAAAAGAAAATCGTCCGAACAATGATGTTGAATATTATATGTCAGATAAATAGCATACTATTTCATTGCAAAAAAGAGTAAGAAATTAATTCATGTGTTTGTATTCATGGTTACGAAACACGAAGGACATTCTAATTGAAACACAACAGCGATATATTGATAAGCTGTATTTAAAAGCTCTGACGGAAAGGATGTAAGAATTACAAATTTCAACTTTAGATAACGAACATAGAAGCTAACAAGTAGCCAACAACTGTGATCTTCTCCTCATTCTATATGATATACTTGTTTGCAAATCTGTGTAAATATTGATGAAAGATTTTAAATAATTTTAGATTGTATAATAATATGTGTAAGTCATTAGAAATACTATTATATTGATACATTGATTCACTTTGAAATTATAAAACACATACGATGAACATACAGAAACTTTGAGCAGATTCTTGATTGTTGCCTATTAATGTTAGATATACTAATCATTTTTTAGAACTAAGAAAAAGGAGTTGAATTGTTTTTTATTCGTAAAAAAAGCAATAAGATTACAATAAGAAGGGATATACAAGTGCATCTGTACTCATTAAAAATTGCTTCATAAGATGTTAATATAACTACAAAGTTACATGTAGCTATCGACAATACATGGTATTTGTTATTTGAATAATATACGGTCTTTCTGCACGATGTTTTCTCCTTTTAAAATAATATTTGCTTTCAAAACTTTATGTATTAGGATTTCATTTAATTTTAATTATCATTATTTGATTCTGATTTGTCGTGCATTTCCTAATCCTGATTGAAAATATTTATCAAAAGCCATTCGACGATTTCTCATTGAATAGGTTCCAGATTATCTCTTTCTTTACCATATACAGTATAATAAGCTTGAAGATAAAATGAAAATGTAAAATCGTGAGATCCTTAAAATACACTATCTTTGAAATAAAAACCAGTAAAGGAACTAATCTGAAAGATGATATTACCTACGTCGTTATGAACATGAAATCCATGATGAACGTATACCTTGCTGAATCGAAGAGACCTGTCTTTGAAACAATAAAAAGAAAAATCAAACGACATCAAATATTTCAAGAAATTCAGCAAGAAGCTGAATTACATGCTCTAACACTCAAACAAATAATCAGATTGAAAATGGACATGTGAGAATAGGATTGATGAAAAGTTGCTTTCATCAAATATTCACATATTGTTTCAACTCTTCAAGAAACCAAAGCACCAAATATCATTTCTTCTTGTCAAATCTATGTAATCAGTTGATTTTGTGTTTCATGTGTGTACGATAAACGAAATATATTACATTACAAATATTTTATTGAAATATATGCAGAATTCTCAAATATGTGTCATTCAAACTTTGAAACAAGCAAAAATAGCTATCGAGACATTGGAATCATTAAGAAATACAACAGACTTTGTTCTTTTTTTTTTAATTTATTCGAAAGCATTACACATGTGTGAAAAGAATGAAATTCATCCACGAAAAGAGTTTTAAAAAATATTTTCCAGCTGAATGTAGAGCGACTTTTCAAATTTTGTTACTTCTATAATTCAATGAAAACTGAGCCGTTGGTCACAAAAATTTAACTCTTTTTTTCAAGTCATATAGTAAAGAATATCTCAAGAAATGTCAAGCTAAAATCTTCCTTCGTTCGACAGAAAATTTTATTTTACTAACAAATTGCAGAGTAATAGTTTTTTTTTGTTGAAGTATTGATACACTAAAATTGATTGATATATGAGAATAGCATTTAGAAATTGGTTCCAACACTTTCTCGTACTGTACCCTTCACTCATATATATATATGAAAGATTATATGACATAAGTCATGCGACAAAAATAAACCAAGAATGAAAGTCACCTATATTGCATTATCTTTTCTTTTTTAGGATAACATATGACTGATCATGACTCATTCATATTCGTTTTCACATAAATGCAATGCATATGTAACTAACTATTTATTGTTCTAGATAGACGACAACTACGTATTAATAGTAGTAATATTCTTTGATAGTAGCAGAAAATATTTTATGACATAGATATTTTTTTTTTCGTTCTTAACGGACAAACTCCTACAAACATGTACACGTCAGTATAAAAGTACAAACTTATAATTACGTCGTTTAGAGAACACATGTATATTAATTATTACGTGCTTTGTTTTCTGTTTTCTTTTTGTTCCAATTGAATATACTTTAACCTATATAATTTAGAATCAAAATCGATTTGTTAAATAAATACCAAAAAAAAAAAATGAATAATAAAATATTTTTAGTAAGCAAAGGGTTTTTCATTTTATTTGATCAATAGGTTATCACGTGTAAAAATAAATATTTTCATTTATGAGGATCAAAACACCTGGTGTCTAGAATCATATAAGAAAAAACGTAAAGACTAAACATATGATCTAAAAAAAAAACAGCACTTCTCAAGTATATTATCTTCTTCTATTCTATCGTTTATGATTCTGTGTACCACTAGTCAAAATAGATATTGTTTAAATGATATGTTCGTTTTTGTTATTTCTTATCTGATAATAGAATAAAAATAAGCATGTTAACGTCATTTTTATTTCTCAAATATTAATTATAACTCAACAAAAGCCGGTCACTGTGTTGTCTACAATATGTTGTCCAGTTTTTACACATATGAAAATGAAACTCAAATAAATATGGATCTTAAATGTTCAATATGTCTCGATCCTTTTCAATTACCTTTACGAGATATTTTTTGTGGTCATATTTTTTGTTTACAATGTATTAAAACATGGCTTAAACAAAAACAATCATGTCCTGTATGTCGACGATATTTTACTAAATTTGTACGTATTAATGATGAAAGATTACTTAAAGAACTTGATCATCTTTTTGTTAAATGCATATATTGTAATGATACAAATATTGCACGAGGTAATTTCAATGATCATATAACATATGAATGCTCAAAACGATTAGTTATGGATCATGTTGAAAATAGAGGAAGTGTTCGAGAAAATTTTCATTTTGAATATTTATTGAAAAGAATAAATGAATCAATTGAAAATAGTAGACAACAACGACAGCATTATGAACAATCAAATTCTACTGCATTACCATTATGGATTGTTATTATTTCAGCTGTTCATTTATTTATTTATTTGTCTGTATTTATTCCTATTGCTGCTCTATTGAATATTACTGATATTTTTATCTCTCTTCTTCGTTATACTATTATATGGTTAATTCATATCATGAAATTACGAATATAGTATTTGAAAGTAAACTAAAAATAACTATTTTCTTTATGTCATACTTGTTTTAGTTTTCTTTTTATAATAAACTTCTCAAGAGTTTGTATCTATATTCGCTAATTATTTTGATATTTGTTTTCATTGTTACGAGAACCCACTTCCAAAACCGAACTTAAATAGGGTATATTAGATATTGATAAAACTTTGCATAAACGTTCAGCTAATGGAAACATATGAAGAAGAAAAAAATCTCATGCCTCCATATCTAATTGTTCAGAAGTGTTTCAGAAATCAAATTGCAGACCTCATGTTTTCGATTATCGAAATATCTAAAGTCTAGAAATGCTAGGCATCGTTTTTTTTAGAAACTTCAGGGTTATTTAGCACTGATGAGTAACTAGAAAATTTATGTCTCTTAGCTGAATACTATGTATATGTCTATTGATAAAAAAGAAACACAGCTCTCTAGAATGAAATGTATTGAGAACAATGCACAAGAAGGCTTTCTTTGAAGTAGGCTTTCTATTATTAATTAAAATCGAGGTGAGGCATAAATAAATGACATGTCAATCGAAGTATTTTATCTATATGTATCAAATTGCCTTTGTAAAAGAGACATCACGATACATGATGCTGTCTATCCTATTTCCTTCATACTTATGTTTTCAATCAAAAACTCACTATGGATAGTGTGTATAGAACATGTGAATATGGCTTATTTTCTATCAGAAACACATTTTGTTCTATATATAAACATTGATTTACAATACTCAAAAAAAAAAGATTCATAGGAAAAGAATGAAATTCATAAAAGAAAGTTTTTGATAGAAAATGTATGAGGGACTTTCCCCCCCCCCCCCCCTTTACTACTCTCTAAACTTTTGTCGGAAAAGTTTTATTTTAAAAACTAACAAATATCAAATTACTCAATAGAGTTTTCCATACTGATTTTAAATATATTTTTATTTCTCTCTTAAAGTACTTTTGGGATAAAACCACATGGAAAACCTGTATCTCAATCCAGAAGCATTGACGCATCTTTAAGCTAACTTAAGTAGACGTGTCAAATAGAGAAAACATTCTGTGAAAGTTTTATTGTATTTGAAACTGTGTTAAAGTGTGCAGACAAATTACGCAAAATATAGCTTTTTAGAAAACTCTCAATTGAGACATCATGCAGACCTTTTTCAAAAAAACGTTTTCCTTATGACATGATAAAGAAAGAACCCTATGATTTATTCTGTAGGTCTTTCTATTATCTTTGGAAAAAGACACTTTCGTCTGAAATGACAGAAACTTGACCATTTTTCGAGTCTAGAATTTTTCCAAATCCTTAAAGAGCTATAATAATTTTTTTTTGAACCAAAAGATTTGCTATTGGCCTACGTGTATTAGACATCATTCAAATTGTAAAAAAGATCACTTTCATTTTTTCATTAAATGTTCACATTGTTGCCCAATGTGCAATGTAATAAAGACAGAAAAATCATAAATGAATTTTTTAAAATTCATTTGTTGTTTTCTAGACTTTTTTAAAAAACCGAGAATAATGATTGTAATATATAATAGACTTATAATGATTTCAGAAGAAGAGAAAATGCAGTTTATATAGTGAAAAATGATTGGCGCCAGCATACGTGATAATGACTACATTTATGAAGACATAAGTTTTGACATATCTCACATATTAGCTAGAATTTATTACTCATATCATTCTTTAATAAAACTTGATCGCCTGAAAAAAAAAATGAATGTCTTTTTTTTTGCCAAACTTTTAAAAGAACTATCAACTTAAACACCATACGGAAACAAAAAGAAGCTCGTTAAATGGATTACATATGCAAACAGCATCTATATCATACAAAGACAATACATATCTCAATCGAAAAATAAACAAATTCAAAACGATGTTGACATTCAATATTGAATGTTAGCCAATTGATACAATTGTGAATAACACATGAGAGAAAAATCAACTTTAGCAAACAACACGCTCATCTTTGCTTTTTTTTTTGTTCAACCAAGTACATCAAAACGAAATAACGATCAGCTATCGATATAATGTTACAAAGAATTTCTCGGATGTATTTAAACTACAAACAAAAACTAGTTACTTAATCAAAAGATCCTAGGTGATAGCCTCGACGGTAAAGCTATGAGTCCTGGATAGATTCTATTAAATGTAAGAATTTTCTATTACAGTTTAATTTTCATTTTCTTATGACAGATGACACGTTGTTACAAAATCAGTGCACATTGCATCTTTTAAGTATATAAGAAGTTGACAGAACAATGCTTCTTGAATACAGTACATCATTTTCGTTATATTTGTCAATTCTCATAACGATAGCTACAACTGAACGATCTTCTGTATTATGAATTGAATAAAAACATATTTATGTTGTGCCATGACTGAACAACATTTAAATCATTGTTACTATCTTTTATATTCATAAAGAAAAATTAGATTTTCGTGATTTGAACAACATCTGCTCTGATTGTATTGCTGAGTTAAGTAGCATTTCTCAGCTACTTTTTTAGTTTCAGATTTCGTCCGAAGCAAAAACAAATGATAGTGTTTATCATTATAAACACATAAAGAAATCCAATATTCACCGTACTCTTCAGGCTAGTGTGGCTGAAATTGTCTCCTTGTCCCTGGATATTAGGGCAATGCCCTACGGTTTTAGAAGAAAATTCATGCAATATAGTATCAATGGCAGTAATTATTACGTTTTTTGTTTGTTCTGTCGGAAGGCCGGCGCTTAGCCTAGCCTATCCTTAGGGTCGCCACTAACAAAATTCATCCATAATTATTACACTAAAGGTAAATTCTTTTCATCACTTGACAGTCCTTTCTACCATTCAGTATTTGTCTTCTCTACTCTTTATAATAAGCCGCATAGAACAATCGCGCGCGTCCTATTATCCAATAACCAATCAATATTAGCTCAACCAACTAAATGTACTAATTTCATTCGTTGATAGTTTTTTTCAAAGAAAGAAAGAAAGAAAGGAGAAGACCTCTGCGTATGTATATATTCGAAAAAAAAAGAAAAAAGAAAAAAAAGCGAGAAGATTTATTTTTCTCTTCTTATTCCGGTCGTATGATACACATTCTCTTCTCATCTCATTGAATAAATGGACAACAAGGCAAAGAATAAAAAAAAAAAAGAGTTGAATACGTATGTGAGCGAACGCGTCTGTACAGCAAGTTCATCGTCCTTCTCTTTTTCTTCTCTTTCGCGTCTTTTTTTTCTCTTTTTCTTCACACTGTGTTTGATGACTGACTGACCGTCGAAAGCAGTCGTTAGACATATATACAGTTCATATATACGTAAGCTTTCTATTAAAACTATTTTCTAGATAATGATACCATCAAGAAAACTAACTCTCGATCTTATAAATGAACATTTAATATGTCATCTTTGTTCAGGTTATTTAATTGACGCTTGGACAATCAATGAATGTTTACATTCATTTTGTCGTTCATGTATATTTTCATATTTTAATGATAATGATGATAATACAACATGTCCTGTATGTTCAACAGTTCCACATCCAGCTAATCCTTTACTTGGTATAACAAAAGATTGTTGGTTACAACAAATTGTTTATAAATTAGTACCATCATTATTTAAACGTGAAATGTGTCAAAGACGTATATATTATGATTCAAATCCTGAAAGTAAAATTAAATTAATTGAACAATATTCTAAAACACTTTCATCACAAATGGGTTGTCGTGAAGAAGAATTAGGTGAATTAAGTGAACGTTGTTTATTTCAACAAAAACATAAATATAATAATAAAGAAAATATATATATTACATTAGAATATAATGAAAATGATTTAAAAGATTTTCAACCTAAAACATCGATATTTTTTATTGAATGTTCATCAAATATGCCAATAAATATATTAAAACAATATTTAAAAAAAGTTTTACCTTTATCAAAACGAACACGTTATCAAATTGATATATTATATGAACAAAAAATTTTATTAGATAATTTAATATTAAATCATATTTATTCATGGAAACAAAATAAACATGAAAAATATAAACAATTACATTTATTCTATAGAATTATTATTATTGAACGTGAACAAAATGATTTATTATTAAAAAGTCCTATTAAAATTGAACAATCAACTACAAATAATATTCTTAATTTAAAAAATTCATCTGAAAATAATACAACAACAACAGTAAGTTTAATTTAATAAATTATTATCAAAATTTTTATAATCAATTTTATAGATTATATCAAAACCTGCTCCATTTGTTCGTTCAACTAATATTTATAATTCATTTGTTCATACAACACCATTTACACCAGCTGAAGCACGAACAATTAGTTTAAATAATTCAATAACTGAACAATTGCATGGTAATGAAACAACTGAATTAATTAAACCAAAAGAATGTACATTAATTGATTGTAAAACTTTTGCTATAACAACACCAATAAATTATTCAATGAATTCTATAAATGAAATTTCAAAAACAAAAAAAAGATTAAAAAAGTGAACTTTTATTTATTTTATGTTTAATTTTTTGAAGAAAAATTTGATTTTTTTTTTTGTTTTTCTAGATCAAATATAAATGAACAATCCTTAATAAAAAAACCTAAAAATGAAAAAAATAAGAAAATTAAAGAAGAAAAATCTCTTCATTCATTATTACCAACAACTAATTTAATTATTCCATTAAATTCATCTCCATCAGAAAATGAAAATCCAAATGAAATAATCGAACAAAAACAATTATCATATTCAGAAATTATACAAGAAGCTAATAAACTTTTAGCTGCTGATGAATCATTAACATCAACAAATAATTCATCATCATTATTACCTTTAACAAATCCTATAACAACTCGTTTAACAAAACCAATTGCAACTGTTTCACCACTACATACATCAAAAACAAATCATAATCGTGTAATTGATAAAACTGATGATAATCAATTAATTGATTTATCAAAATCAAATATAACATCGTATGTTAAAAA